CGCTTGTGGGGTTCCCTTTAAACTTGCTCAGTGAGCATTGCCATATGCAGCCTGCTTCTCTGGCTACACCAACTACCTTCTTTACACACACACACACACACACACACACACACACACACACACACACACACACAAGAAATGTCTGGTGAGAAACTACAAGAATCGATTCAAATTCCCGAGGCCAGAATCAGGCAAACCCTTCTCAAGTTCCAGGGTTGCCGTTTGGTAGAAGGGCACAGAAAAGCCATGCTAGTAGCTGGCGTGGATCAGCTGTGGTGCGAACCTGCACGGACCCTCAGAGCTGGAGCACTGGGGCTGTCTCCTGATTGTCCTTGTGGCTGCAAAGTGTCATGGTAGAAACCACTTCACGGACGCTTCCCATGAGTAGGTGTTTGGGGCTGGTGAGGCTACTGCTAGCGTGATGGTGTAAAACCAACCAACAGCAACTAGAAAAAGGTTTTAACTGCCCACCTTTCCAACTGCGGAACCCAGTTCCGGGGCCCTCTGAAGGCTTCCTTACATATCTCAGCTGTCCGTGGCCAAATTGAGAAAATAAAATTGGAGAGTGACTGGTTTGAAAAGGGAGAGCAAGACAGAAAAAAAAAGGTTCTGGCCATGTGTGATTCAGCGCCTGTCACTTGTATCTAGATGGGCAATTAAGACCTAGCGGAGGCAGGCAGTTACACTTGTCTTCATTGTTAATTCCTAGACTAGCATCTAGGAAAACTGATGTGGGGTTCCCCTCTGTATGTTGTGATTACCATCTATTAATAAAGAAACTGCTTTCAGACCTATAGCAGGGCAGAACAGAGGTAGACGGGGAAAACTAAACTGAATGCTGGGAGAAAGAAGGAGGAGTCAGGGAGACGCCATAGAGCCATGAGAGGAGAAGGATGCAAGCTGTCACACAAACCTCATGGCAAAATATAAAATAATAGAAATGGGTTAATTTAATATGTAAATGCTTGCTAGGAATATGCTAGAGACATTGGCCAAGCAGTGTTTTAAATAACATAGTTTTTTGTGATTATTTAGGTTCTGGGCAGCCAGGAACAAACAAGCCACCTCCTACTATAGAAACCATTCGGTACATAAATTTCATTGCTCTTAACTACAAGGCAGAAATGATTATCTGGCATTATGAAATCCAGCCCCTGGGAGCGCATATGAACATCAGGGAGACCCTCACCCCCAACGGTGATCCAATGTATTGAAAAGAGTAGTGCATTTGTGAAGAAAGCACTAAGCCACGTGATCCAAGGAGATCCATTTTGTAGTTCTGTCTTCCGGGTGGGCTCTTCCTCCCATCATCTCCTAAGCCCAAACCATTTTTTTAAAAAAAAAATCTAATATAGTATCTGTTATGTCTCCTCTTGGTGAAAGCAAGGTGGGAGTGCAGCCCAAAAATTTAGAGCACATTACCATAGTACCTTCTGGTGACAAGCTTGGAATAGAATAAAAGAAAACTTATAAAAATCCTGCTGAAATTTAGTCATGCTTAATTTGGTTAATTGATTGGATCATTGGATAAAGCAAGAGAAAATTCCAAAGTGCAACTGTAGGAGAGAGAGAGAAAGAGAGAGAGAGAGAGAAAGAGAGAGAGAGAGAGAGAGAGAGAGAGAATATGAATCATGATATATGAGGATGTTAGGTTCAGTTCACACACGGATTCTAACAAATCCCTTGGATGGGTTCCAGTGTGATGGAATCTGGAAAAGCCTTTGGGGGTTGCTAGGTCTTGGGGAGAGGTCCTGGTGCTGCAACTAGTGACCTTAAAGAAGAAACACCAAACAGTTCTGCCCCTTCCTTCATTGTGTTTGGGGCCAACCTGAGCTACACAATGAGGCAAACTCCCATCTCCCCCAACCTCCCACCCCTATGGATCCTCAAAACCAAACATATAAACAAAAGAGGGAAAAAAATAAGTGAAGATGACATAGTATCAAATGCACAGAGGGGAAGAAGGGAGAGGGAAGAAAAGGGAGATGAACAGAAGGCAAGAAAGAATAAGGACCAGAGAAGAGAAAGGACAAGAAGGAACAGGGAGGTCATTGCAGAGACTTTGTGAAGGTTCTAGAAAAGCAAACAGCCCTGAGTTGTTTCTAGAGCTTCTAAAGATGGTCTGTGACAAGGTAATGAAATCAACAGAAAACTCGGTGTGAGCGATGGCTCTGTTCCCTTCCAAAGTACTAGGACTATAGGCCAACACCACCACCCTCCGATTCTAACTTATTCTGTTGTATGCAATCGATTGAAATTTATGATGTATTTTGTTATTTACTGGATATCATCTTCCTGTTAGGTAAAACAAATAGCATACATAGCTTAAAAAATAATCTTAGATAAATTTGCCTTTTTTATGATTTCATCGATTTCACTAAAACTTGTCTCATAAAATAATTTTTGTCTCATAACATTTTTAAACTGTGGGCCTGAAGGACCAATTACATTAACACTAAAATATATAGTAAACTATAAAATATAATATGATAATAAAAAACTCTTCCACATTTATAGCATTTAATAACATCCAGATATTTTTATATACATTACCTATGTTCTCTATAATAATAACAAATTTATAATTATTATTATTATTACCTTTGTTACAGTAGATAAGGCACCAGAGCCACTGTGTTCAAGGTCACATATATAGAGAACTTGAAATCCCAACCTGCCCCCCTGACATTTCCATCCCATAATGTAGATTGGATTCTTACACTGAGTAGAGAGAGTGGGTGACATTTTAAGAGCACATTACTTTATAAGCCAGTCTTACAAGGTGCATATTTGAACTTCTCAATATTCTTTACGATTTCCATGGACTCCTATCCTCACCCATATTTTATGTTGAAGAAATTGAGATAGCGTCAAAAAGTGTAAAAGAAATTTAAAACTTTCCCCTGCTGTGCGTTCATAGGCAACTCAATTGTTCAACGGAAATGAGGTTTTAGAAAAAGCCTTTGTTATAGAAAGTCACACCAACATTAAGTCCCTCATATTATTTTCTAAGACCAAAGTTTAATCTGTGAGGTAGAGGGAAAATACTGTGAGACTATTTTGATGTTTAATGGACAGAAACAAAATCAATTTGGAATTCCTGCTGTTATCCACCTGCAATGCTCCTCAGGTCCCCGGGTGTTCTCAGCAGAGCACACAAACCCAGACTGCACATGTTTCTGAAAGGCCTGTCGGTGCCTAAGCCAGGCTTTCTCTCCAGTTGGGTGTACGTATTCCAGGTCTTGACAGATCTAGGTGGGGCTGAGAGTGTACCACCTAGAAGATGACTTGCCCCGTAAGCATCCTAGAAGCCCTAGGTTCCATCCCTAGAAGAAAGGAAGGAAGGGAGGGAGGGAGGGAGGGAGGGAGGGAGGGAGGGAAAAAGGGAGAGAGGGAGAAGGTAACATGGGAGGGAAAGAGGAAAGGAAGGAGGGAGGGAGGGAGGGAGAGAGGGAGGGAGGGAGGGAGGGAAGGAAGGAGAGAAGGAGGCGGCGAAGGGGGAAGAGACAAAGAAAAGGAAAGAGGGCAGTTAAACAAGCATGTGTATTCTTATATTACACCTATCCAAGAGGATGATAGACACAGAATCGAATATTTTTTAAATACTTATTTTCATTTTATGTGTCTGTCTGTCTGTGTGAATGTATACCATACGCATGCATGTTCCTGTGCAGACAGAAGAACGAATTAGATCTCACAGAGCCAAAGTTACAGGCAGTTGTAAGCTGTCCAGTGTGGGTTCTGGGGACCAGATGTGTGCCTTTCGGGCTTCACCTTCCATTTATTCTTTTTAAAAAATTTATTTATTTATTATTTATTTTACATCCCGAAGTTTCTCCTCCCTCCTCTCCGCCTAACCCCTTCCCCCAGTCCCTCCGCCTCTGTTCCCACCCTCCCTATCCACTCCTCCTCCATTTCTGTTCAGGGAAGGGCAGCTCGCCGATGAGTATCAACAAAACATGGCATATCAAACTGCAGTAAGACTAAGCACCTCCCCATGTATTAAGGCTGGGCAAGGCAACCTTGTAGGAAAAGTAAGGTCCCCAAAACCAGTTAAAAAAAAAAAAAGTCGGAGACAGCCCTATTTACACTATTCGAGGTCCCATAAGAAGACCAAGCTACAAAACTGTAACATTATATACATGCCGAAGGTCTAGGTCAGTCCCATGCAGGCTCCCTGGTTGTCGGTTCAATCTCTATGAGCCCCTATGAGCCCAGGTTAGTTGATTTTGTGAATTTTCTTGTGCTGTCTCCTTGACCCATCTGGCTCCTACAATCCTTTCTTGGTGTAACTCTAACCAAGCAAGTGAAAAATCTGTATGACAAGAACTTCCAGTTCTTGAAGAAAGAAACTGAAAAAGATATCAAAAGATGGAAAGATCACATATGCTCATAAATCAGTAGGACTTACATGGTAAATATGGCAAGTTTACCAAAAGCAATCTACCAATTCAATGCAAGACCCATCAAAATCCCAGTAAAATTCTTCAAGTAAAATTCTTCACAGACCTTAAAAGAACAACATTCAACTTCATATGGAAAAGCAAAATACCTAGGAGAGCTAAAACAATCTTGTATAATAAAAAACTTCCAGAGGTATTACATCTCTGATTTCAAACTCTACTACAGAGTTATAGTAATAAAAACTGCATGGTATTGGCATAAAAAGAGACAAGTGGATCAATGGAATCAAATCAAAGACCCAGAAGTAAATCCACACCCCTATGGACATCTGATTTTTGACCAAGAAGCCAAAATTACGCAATGGGGAAAAAAAAGAAAGCATCTTCAGTGAATGGTGCTGGTCTAACTGGATGTCCGCATGGAGAAGAATGCAGATCAGTCCATATTTATCCCAGAACACTAAGTGCAAGTTCAAGTGGATCAAAGACCTCAACATAAATCCAGATACACTGAACCTGATACAAGAGAAAGTGGGAAATAATCTCAGATGCATTGGCACAGGAGACAGCTTCTTGAACAGCACAACCAACAGCACAGGCACTAACAGCTTCCTTTTATTTTTAATCATGAGTATACACCTAATCCCCACACTCCAGCATTTGGGCAGCAGAGATTGTGTTCCTTGTGACTATGATTTCAAGACCGTAAACTGCACTTTATAATATTGGCCGTCTCCACTTGCAGGTTACGAATGCTCGTGATTGGGTTGGGATGCCTAGGTCAAGTCTCTGGGAGTGCGTGCAAAGGATTATTTTGACTAGGTTAATTGAGATAGGATGAATATACCTAAAAGTGGGTGGGTTTTCCTCGAGCTGGCAATGAGTCCAGAGACCTCAAACTCTGGAACCAGGAGGATCCCATCATCATGGATTGCAACCCAGAACTGTCAGCCAAAGCAATCCCTCCCTCCCTTAACTTGCTTTTGTTGTGGTATTTTATCAAACCAATGAGACAAGTAACAAAGGCAGTGCTTCTTTATATGGCAAACATGGGCCTGGATTGTGGACTAAGTCTGAATCTCAACCCCTCACCCCTCTTTAAAGAGTTGGTTCTGTAGATTATCGCAGTTGCAAAACCATTGCCACCTTTTGAGTTTGGGGGCCACAAAATGTCTAGGTATCGTATCATACATACATCATAAGGCAGGCAAAAATATGAATGGTGTGAACATATAAACGAATGAATAAGAACTGCAGAAAACCCTGGGAGCCCCCAAAAGACATCTAGTTCACAAGTCCTGTTTTAGTGACTCAGTCAGCACAACCTTTCGGCTGTGCTCAGCGGAGAGCTGAAATTTGCTAATCATCCCATGTCTTCCTTGGTTTTTTAACAAGAAGTGCTGCCCCGTTCAGAGTAGGCCATAAACAAATGAGAAATAGAATTATCACAGAGTCTAGCATTCACTTTGCCCTAGCTTTCTGGCTTCTGGTACTCTTACTAATTAAACTGGGCGGGCAGGGGGTAATAATTTTTAAAACACTTTGCATTTTCAGTCATTTCAGATGCAAAGAACTTTGAAAGGAAAACCACAAGAGGGTATGTGGTAAACAGGGCCTACTTACCAAAGGAGGTCACATAAAAATTGAAAAGCACTAAAGAATAAATAGTTCACACTGTCCAGGGGGAATAAACCATGCAATCTCAAGTAAAAATTAAAGCCAAATTACACCCACTAATCATATCTGCATAGTGTATGTGATTCATTTGCATATAATGCCAGTGTTCTAATCAGGGTGCTGAGCCAACACATGTAGCTGGGTTAGTGTGCCACTGAGAAGTCCAGGCACTGGGCTTGCTTCCTCTGCCTGGCTGAATTCTCTTCCTTCCAGCCCGCAAACTATCAGCCCCTCATGGACTTCTAATACTGGAAATGAAAGCACTATGAACCTGTACATTGAGAGCCTGGGGGCCTCGCGGACGAGCAAGAAACTAGACGATCCTGGATCAGCGTTTGTAGTTCTAACCTTCATTGTCAACCTAACTAGATTTAGACTCACCGTGGAAATGCACCTGGGGTGTATCTGTAAGAGTGTTTCCAGAAAGATTTAACTGAGGAAGGAAGACCCACTCTGAAAATGGGTGGGTTCTTCCATGGGCCCGAGTCCCAGATGGAACAACAACAACAAAAAAAAGGCAAGCCAAGCCCCGGCATCCTCCCTCCTGCTCGGCCACCTGACCATAAAGGCGCATAATCAGCTGCCTCACACTCTCACTTCCGTGACTTCCCGAATGGACCTTCCCACTGAAGTATTAGACAAAATAGTCTTCCTTAAGTTGCTTTTGTCAGGTATTTCAGAGAGAGGGGCAACTAATACAATGCTTTGTTTCTAGAACATTCTATCTTATCTGTTCTTAGACACATTCGTTTTATGCTAGATGAAGAATTCTTCTTTCTCTTCGCCGTGGACAGGAAGATGGTGGGCACATTTTGAGATTCTCTTCTTTATACCAAAGTCCCTTTGACCAGGAAGTGACAGAGGACGGAGTCTGTCCTTTACGACTCTTTGGTTTGAGGAAGCAGTCGCCTCGAAGGAAGAGCTCGACAAGCAGCATGGTGGCTGACTGTTCTGAAAATCCCTGGGAAATCTCATAAAAGATTGCCTGGGTTTGGAATTGATGACGGTGAAGCCAGTGTCAACATTTGTCTCTGCCTCAAGTTTCTGGAAGCTGTTTTCCTGAAGGGCATGCATTCGCATCTCAGGCTCCATGGGGACAGACAGGCGGTACTGCCGCAAACCTGTGTCTGAGCTATCTGCCAGGTAGGTCCGGCCAGGGCTACTCCAGAAAGGGTCGCTAGAGCTTTCCGATGTCCCACTGGGCTGGGGAAGCTCCAGAGAATGTACTTTGAACCTCCGGCTCCTGCTCCTCCGGCTCCGTGGCTCTAAGGTTCTCGGTGTGAAGTCAGAGTTCAGCCTGGAGCACCGTCGATGCACGTCACCGCTGAGGCTGCCATTCAGGAAGGAGCACTCAGCATTTCTAACACCAAGTCCTGGCTTCGGTTGGACCTATGAGACAAGGAAAGGAAGAACCAATGTAACATGGTTTCCACTGCTAACTTCACAACCCTTGTCTGGCCTCTGCTGCTTTCAGCCGCACCGTTTGAGCGGAAGTGAGACATGAATCTGTTTAAAATGATCAGTATTCTCATTCTTACTGGTTTTGAGGGGGATGTCGGAAATGACACCACCACACTTCCTGTAGATCTGGTAGTTTAAACACCCAAAGACATGACATGCACAGACATTTCTCAGTGACCTGACCAGATAATTTAAGTGATATATTACAACAGACAACAGTCAAAGCCTGTGGCCACAGTCAAGACAAAGAGCAGAACGGGAATTCAACCTTACAACGCTGGTGGTACCTCTACTAGATCATGCTAATAAAGGAATCCTTCTTGGATGTGCCTTAGATATGGGGGTACCCCAGACAGGTTAATATGCTAGTACCTTTTTAAAACAATTTTTCCTTATTTTCTTGAGGCACCATTTATACACAGTAGAGCATATTGTCTGGGAAAACAGAAAAGACTACTTATATGAATTTTCTAGCATTTTAATTCACAAAAATTGCATTCTGGTTCCAATCTTACACTGCTGGTCAGCAAAATCCCCATCCTATGAGTGGCTGCCCTCTCTTTGCACAGGATCAAGGTCACTGGACACCTTCCATCCTAGATTCCTGGGAAGCTGACGTGCCAGCTCTTTCACGGGGCTCTCCCAAGACGATCTCTGGACGTACTAGTTTTCACCCTAGAAGTTAGTATCTAGTACCTCTCTATGAGTTACTGTTCAAGGAACCCATAATAAAAAGGCTCTTGCCGTGGCTTTTGGTTGCCCACCAGAACTAGATGGTAAGAAATGTATACTTTGGCTGCGGGACTTGGAGAGATCAACTGCCTGGGAGACTGCCATCTGCTGGCTAGGGCTGAACACTGCTACACGGCCAGTGGGGAAGAAAAGACAGCAGTGGGCTTTTCTAGCCCTAGCTCCTGCGTGCTTTAATAGCACTTCTAGCCAAAACATACCCACTGGCTCAAATATAGCATAACTGTTATGAAGGAAACCAATGATTTTACAGTCAGATTTCAGGACTTCTCCCTGGGATAGAATTTATGCCTGGTCAAAGTCCAGGGCTTTGATGGGGAGTTCATATGAGGTAGAATTCTTCCCTGTATGCTGTGGATGACAATGGTTAATAAAGAAACTGCTTTGGCCTGTTGATAGGGCAGAACTTAGGTAGGCAGGGAAAACTAAACGGCATGCTGAGATAAAGGAGGCAGAGTCAGGGAAAAGCCATGGAGCTCCTGGCGGAGACAGATGTGCTAAAACTTTGCTGGTAGGCTATGACCTCGTGGTGATGCGCAGATTAATGGAGATGGGTTAAATTAAGATGTAAGAGTTAGCCAATAAGAAGCTAGAGATATTGGGCCAATCAGTGATTTAAATAATATAGTTTCTGTGTGATGATTTCGGGCCTGGGCAGCAGGGTACAAACAAGTGGTCTTCCTCCTACGTTCATAGGTCCTAGGAAAGAACTAACTATTTTTGTTGCTAAATAGTCACATCAAACTGCCTTGCAAATATTTATGCTTATAACTATAGTTTTTTATACCTATAGATTAATGGTGCTCTCAACCTTAGTCATAGAAGCTTCTTCTAAGCAGGTAGTGATTAATGCAGAACCTCACAAATAAACTCATTTATACCAAGTCCCTCCTCACACATACAGCGGGATCAGGTAATATGGAAGACGGGAGCGGAAAGAATTTAAAGAGCTGAAGGAGGAGGAGTATTGAGAAACGCTGTCTTACAGACAGGACAAGGCTGTTGTACTCATGAACTCACATGGGCTGCGATTACCTGCACAAATCAGGACAGTCCAAATTCCAGCATTTATAGGGGAGTGCACATGAGGCCTCATCCCTAGTTGAAGAGCTTTCAAAGAGGTTGAGAGCAGAGGGGGCTATATGTCTGTGGGGTCATGAAGTTCTCTACGCTTTATGCACTGGCTTTGATGTGAGCCACCACCACGCTAAAACAGAGTCTTTGAAGAGGAAAAGAGAGAACTGTACATTTGCCTCCCAAAGCAAGAAGGCAGAAGTTGGGACGGGGGAGGGAGGGGGAGCAGGTCTACAATGAGTCGCTTACTGAATGCATACACAAAGTATTTTTTTTTTTGCAAATGACAGGCATACATGCTTTCTTCTAACTTTTCTCTGCTATAGAAATAGAGAAACTGCAAAGACAATCCCCCCAAATAAGAGACATTTATTTCTTCTTTTAGAAATTTCAAATATGTCCTGCGAGAAGGTCATGTAGCAGGTGTCTCACCATGGAGCTATCAGCCCAGCCCCTTGGCTCAACAGAGCCGCCAGAGACAAGCCCCACATGAATGGTGTGGCTGCGATTCAATGTATTTCTATTTGTGGACCATGGAATTTGAATTCTGTGTCATTTTCATGTTTCATATTTCTTTTCCAATCATTTAAAAATGGAAATCTATGCTGAGTTCCTTCCCATAATTGCCCAATATCTCCTCTCTTTAGATCAATGAGTCAGCAGTTCTCGCTCATTCTCTCTCTCTAAGTCTTCTTTCTAAAATTCTTTACCTGGAGGTCCCAAACATGAAGCAGTCGTACTTCCGAAGCTTGGAGGCCATAACACTGGAGCAGTCAGGGGTACCACGGACTGCTAAACCTTTCTCAGCCCCACTTCCATGTCTGCAGGATTTTTAAAATACAGATTTAAAACCACCACTCCAGGATCCTTAGATTCCATTTATGGGACAAGTCCCATAAATTCCTAAAGAGCTGCACACATCTAGATACCCACCCCTAATCTACCAATGGGATTCCAAGATGGAACCCATCTACCGTGGTGCTCTTGTCCAAACCAGTTTTGTCAGCATTGAGGGGCTTTGTTGCATGGATGTCCATGGCACCTTAATATATGTACTTTGACAACCCCACGGGAGACACGTCTGTCTCCAAGCATTGTTGCACACTGCAATGATAAAAGGCCCTAGCGCCCACCCTTAAGATTCAAGTGTATCCAAACAAGGATGTAACGTGGGTATTAAGAATCCACACATTTCCCCGGTGTTCCAAATGCATAGAAAATCTGGCAGCCACTTCTATGGGCACAGAAAAGCTGTGCCTGGGTAGTTGTCTTCTGGACAACTGGACTCCTGCAACCCCGCTGGTCACTACATCACCTAATTCCATTTCCCTGTCCTGTTGGTTCAGTCTCTTCTCTCCCTCCTTTTCTTTCCTCTCCCTTCTCTTGTTCTTCCATTCTTTTCTTTCTTTTTAATCCATTTGTTTTTAATAAAAATATCTTATTATGGGTTGGATATCTTTTATCCCAAATCATTCTGGGGTAATACTAGATTACCCAGTCTGGAGAAACAAATCCTTGGGTTTGTCTCTGAGACCCCATTTCATTTTCTACCAACTGCTTTCAGAAAAAAAAAACCCTGTGGTGTGCTATATTAAAACCCTTTAGATATGTATCCCAGAGTGGTATTCCCACAAGCATACTTGGAAGATCATGTCTATTGCAGCACTATCCATAACAGCTGATGTACAGGTTTAGCTTATGCCCAGGAAGAGAGGGAGGAATACAGAAATTCTGCCACACATACATACAATGAAGTTCTAGTCAGTCATTTGCAGAAAATGAACACAATTGGAGACTACCATAGTGAGCAAAATAAGCCTGACTCAAAAAACCATATATCATGCATTATTTCATTTGTAGATCCTACATTTTATACAGGTATTTTAACATGTTATATTATAATATACCTATAATATTGCAGGCACAGCTTTCCTGTATTCTGGCAGTCACTTCCAAATAACCACACAGAGGCTAATTATTAATTATAAATGCTTGGCCAATAGCTCAGGCTTGTTACTAGCAATTCTTACATTTTAAATTAGCCCATGTTTCTTATCTACCCTCTGCCATGTAGTACCTTCTTTCAACACAGGACATTTGTTTTTCTTCTTCCTAGGTCTCTGGAGACTCCCCGGAGTCCACCCTTCTTCCCAGTGTCCTTCTGGCCTGACTCTCTTGCCCAGTCTCTTCCTGCCCATCTATAGACCAGTCATCTCTTTATTAACCAATGAGAGTAATACATATTTACAGTGTACAAAGATTGTTCCACATAATACCATATGTTCTAGTGTCATTTCTGTTGCCATGATAAAATACCCTGACAAAATACAGCTCATGGGAGAAAGAATTTACTTGGCTTAAACTCCCAGGCTACAACCCATCATTGAGGGAAGCCAAGGCAGGAATCTGAGCAGCTGGTTACATCACATCCATAGTCAAGAGCAGAATGAAATAAATGTATGCAACCCTATTTTCTTAATAGTGTGCTATGTTCTCAGCTAGTTTTCTTATACTGTTCAAACCATATGCCTAGGGAATGGTGTTGCCCACAATAGGCTAGGACTTTTTACATTAATTAACGAACACAACCCCACAGACAAGTCCATGGTTTAACCTGATCTAAATAATTCCTCATTAAGACTCCTGTCCTTGGTAATTCTAGGTTGTGTCAAATTCAGTTAAAACTAACCAGCCCATTGTATACACATACATGACATGAAAATAAACGTGAGATTGTATGAAGAAATTAAAGGGAAGCACATCCCACATCAGGAATGGCAAACATATGGAGAAAGAAGAGAAATGAATAAGTCTGAAGTACAAGTAATATACCTATATGATGTCTTTATAAAAATCATTAATATGTACAATGATATACTCTAAGAAAATGTTATATGAAAGAAAGAAAGGGAGAAGGAGAGAAGAGAGAAAAGAAAGAAGGAAGGAAAAAAGACAGGAAGAAAGAAAGAGAGAAAGAGAGAGAAAGAAGAGAAGAGCTCTGAGACGGTTAAATGGTAAAGGCATTTACCATTAAGCCAGATGTCTTGCATCTGATACCCAGAACCCACGTGGTGGAAGGAAAGACTGACTCCCTCAGATTCCCT